TCTATAGCAGCATAGAATTTGATCTGTTTATTACATTAGGTATCATTGGGCCTATAATATCCTTATATTACATGTTTAAATTGAGCTATGGAAAGATTTAATGTCTTTCTAGCTATCATTTTCTTAATCCTAGGTTAAAAGGATGTAAGTAAATGAAGTACTCGTAAAAATTTTAAATTACAGTGTAAAAAACAATTTTTAAAAAAAATTTGCATTCAGTGTAGAGTTTAGGAAATAAAATTCTTTGTTCATTCTTTTTGTTTAACACATTTTTCCACTGATTAATCTCTCCCTTTTGACTCATAGCGCAGATGCTGTATATTGATTTCCACTAGAATAGTTCAATTTCAACTTTGTTTAATTAGTAAAGATTTTCCATAGGATGATAGATGGTTGCCCAGTTGAAAGCAAGGACTTAGATAAACTATTAGTGCACCTGATGCAATTGTGAGTTAAATTATACTATGGATCCTGGGGGAAAAAACAAAAAGTTTCACCACTATGTTGTTTTATGCAGCCTTTCCTGGGGGCATTTACAAAGAGAAGCCTTTTTCAGATTTCTGTTAAATAGTTAACATTACATTAGTCAAGTTTTATTTCTCTCCTGAGTTGTCATACATTGTGATCTAGCCATGGCCTTAATCAGTGTGTAGCCATGTGTTCGGACTTTATGAAGCTGGTAGTGTCAGGTGGGTACACGGGGTTGAAGGATGGGGGGTTAGTTTGTTGCTCAGCAGAACAATACCTTTGCCAAACAAATCCTGGCCTAAGAGTGACTTCTCTGAAAAGTGTATCCATGTTGCCCTAATGGGAAATAGGACATGATGACATCCTTCTTAAAAGTTGAATCCCTTTGAGGGGTCCCTAAAATGCCTTCATTCTGTACAGTATCCAGTAAATGAATTTTTGTTAAGACAGGCAAGTATGCATTAAAAACTTTGTACTAACATAAGAAGCATAGAGTTAATTTAATAGTTGATGTGGTGAAGGCTATAACTGCTTGGTCAAGGATATATTAGTAAAAAGTTGCAGCTCTGTGGAAGGGGTGGTTTATATCGTATCCTTAGCTGTTGATCAAGGCTGTGTCCCGAAGGACTTGGAAGCACCTCCCAGCTTACAGTGTGATCCACATGTTATATTTTCTCCACTTGTAAACCCTCATTTTGTTCACGGATTGTGGTTCTTGATTAATTGGTGACTAGTAATAGGAAGAATATATAGAGTACACCCATACAAAAACAAGTGGGAGTTCTCCACATTGTACTTCCCTGCTAGGTATTCATGTTTAATTTAGTAAATTTAAATAGAGGCAATGCTGGCACAGAATACTTTTACTGAATATATTTCTTGGGAAGCAGCTTTCTAATGCACATGGTGGTATCCCAAAATACAGCAATAGAAAAAAAGATTATATGAAAAAAATAAGGGAATAGTTTTACTTTGTTCCATTATTTTAAAAATGTAAAGATAATTAATATCCTAATGTATGTATATTCTACCATATTAATGGGTTTTTGATTTGATCCTCCTATTTAAAAAGAAAAAAAGTCTTTATTTGGAATGCAACGATTTCAAGAGCAAAGGAAAGGAAGTGAGGCATTTACATAAATGAATATCTAATAATACTCTGGAGTTATTTCTCTGCTGAACTAAATGACATTATTACATTCAAAAATATGAAAAGAGGAGTACTGATCAAAAGACTTAATGCTAATTAAAGACTGAATATAAGCGATCCTGGGGGTCCTGACAGCTTTGTTTTTGAGGTTCAGTAGAGTGATTCTGGACCAACGCAAAGAGCATTTTCGTTGGCAAGGTAAACTACACCACATAATGGTCTGCACTGCGGGCTGTCTGGGTTCGGGCTCTTCCACTTATTATATATGGGACTGTGGGAAGTTGCTTAGCTACTTTCTACTTCAGTTTTCTTACTAAAATGGAAATAGTAATAACCCTGTCCCCATAAAGTGCTATGAGGATGAAATGAATTTGTTTATACTTATAAAATGCTTAGAACAATGCCTGGCACGCAGTATGTATGTGGTGGGTTTTCTTTTTAATTAGCCTGATTATTACTATAGTAAATACCACACATGTTGTTTTGTTTTTCTTTTCCATTCAAAAAGTGGACATTGTGGTTGGTTATCTGCTAAGTTTAATTAAAGGAGAAGTCAAAGTGAACACTAATGTTGTAGTTATAAAAACAACCAAAGATATGATAGTAACCAAAAAAGCATGTTTTTTCACTTCATCCAGTGTAGCTTTCAAGGTGGAATATGAGAATTTTCATGCGCCATCTTTCACATGGTTATGATTCTTGAAATTACTACCGTAAGAATGTCAGATTGCTGACTAAACGTAAATCAGAAATTAACCTGCTGTAAATTCCATATATGCACTGACTGTTGAAACTCTTATCAGTAGTACCCTGGCTTCTGAATGCATATCTTCTTGCAGCTTTGCCTTATCTCAGCCACCAAACTGCTTTTTCAGGATGTCGCTTTTTAGTGCAAGATAAAGGTCAGTGGTCTGCTATGTAAGCTTTTCCTTTCAGTATATTATTATCTTATATTTTGACTGCTAATGTTTGGCTTATTATTTGCCATTAAATTCCAGACATAGGAGGACAATGGGTCATTTGGCATTTTGTTTAGATTATAGGATTTAAAATTGTAGACATTATGAAATTTTTGAATATGTAAGGTTAATGTAAGGGTACTTTCTGTACTTGTTTTAGAACATTTCTCCCCAAAAGTTTATATTTTATAGGTAAATAGGTACTCCTCAGTCTTATTTGTAGTACTCTCTAAACACTCGATATGTTATTAACTGTGAACCAGAAGGTGATTTTTAGAAGATGGTTTAATTCCAGCATGAAAATATAAAAGTTTCCTCTAGTATTGGTTGGATTACTCTAGTATTCTTTATCAGAGCTACTAAGAGGTTAAGAGAAACTCACATCATGAGGCATTGAAATGGGTGCTTTTACATTCATTTTATTTCACTGTTAGGCTTACAGTGTAAATTAGATGCCCTTAACCAGAACAGGAACGGCACTTGGAAAAAAGATGCCCGGTGGCGTTGACTCACACTGTTTTCATTGTTGATAGGTACCTGTGCCATCAACAGCTTAGTCTCTGCTTTTGGGAAACAGAACTTATTGCCAGAAAGACTTAAAAATCATGACTTCCAACAAAGGGTTTTAAGAAAGGCAATCTTATATTTATTCCCATCATAGCCAATAGTATTTTTGTTCATTTTACCAACCTTTTAAGTTAATGTTTCCTGTGGTTTTACAGTATTAATTTATTCAATGAGTGTTTGTTGAGTGCTTACTGTTATTTGCCGGTTACTACGCTAGGAGCTGGAAAGACACCCATGAACTGGGCATTTAGCAAAAAATTGCCAGTGAGATAGTGTTACTAATGTAAAAGTGTTTGTCAGGATATGACTGTTATATACAGAATGTTTGAATTACAGTTTCTAAAAGAGTAAATACTTGAATTAATACTTTCCAAAGTGGAAATAAAGATGAAAAGACTTATTCAATATTTTAGGGAGTTTTGAATCATGGACACATATTAGGGTTATAATTTTATCCAGGATATACACCAAAGGGGGTTTGACTATGTTAGATGTTATGTATTAGCTATTTTCTCAAGTATCATGATACATCATGACAGTTACTATCTGTTCAGCCACTTGAAGGTATGGCTTTTTCTTAACCTTAATTTAGCTAATCCAGAAGTAAAATTTCCAGGATGATAGATTGCGATTAGAAATAACTGAATTACCTGATATGGGCATACCTAAAATAAATAAAAGTACAACAGGCAGGTGCTGAATTGCTCTCCTGACCCCTGATTTCCTCAGCACTGCTGTGTTCCTCTGGCAACCTCCCTGGGGTTGTGGCTTGTCAAGCTGTTTCATTTATGACTTAAGATCTGACGCTTCTTGACAGCATCAAAATCTGCCCCTTCACTTACTGGTCTTACCACCTGTAAACATGGGTATCTTCATCATCCTCTCAGGAACGCTCAGAGACCTTGAAACTGAAAAAAGTAAAATATTCCCACTGCTAATAGCAACAATTACTGCATGGTGTTCCAGCTGCTAACATAATTGGCCTCAAAAGTAAGTCTGAGTCATAATGACTTTTTATTGCAGAGATGCCTAGCGTCACTGAGAGTGATCTTTCCTAGGAAATATTTTTAGTGCAGACCAACATTTCCACGTATTTGTTTCAGAAAGCACTGGTATAGAAAGATGTGATACCCCCAGCCTCACCCCCGCAAAGTTGAAGGAGGTCATTCTGAAATTGAGTAAATTAGGGAATTTTTGTACACTATTTCCCTCTTGTTAAGGTGGCAATGCGTGCCAACGTACTACAGTCTCTGTGAAGCCCTACTATGAAGAATATGTTTAATATTTTAAAATTTAACCTATCCAATCTTATTTGACCACAGTTTTTTTCTTAACATGTGACCTAACAATAATCCCAAAGTTGACCATTCTGCCTTTATTCAGGTTACTTACTGCCACGATCCAGCTATTGGTGGCTAACAGTTTGGAGACAGATCCTAACAGTCATAGGCAATTAGAAGTATCCCTATTAACCTGTTCTATAAGAACTAGGAGAAAAGCTCTTTGTGACCCATTTATGGAATATTTACATGGTTTAGTGTGTACTATTAATTTGAAATTTTTAGTAAAGCCTGCGTTCCTTCCTTGAGCAACCTTTGCTCATCTTCATACGTACTTCTATTCGTTACATCAGGACCTAAAAGGTGGGCCATATGGAATGAGTAGAAACAGGCGAGCTTCTTGTAACTGGGCTGTGGCCTGGGAGACCAGTGAGCCCACTGACGCATTGCTCCATGTTGCTGTGGCTTGTGCTTGCCTGTGACGGGACTTGTGAATGGCTTGTGCTTCCATTTCATTCTGGAGAACCACACTAGGCAGCCGTCCTTACCAGTTATATGTTTATTTGCTTTCTGCAGCGATGGAGAGGGGAGAAAAAGGACCTCGTCTACTTGCAGCAATGAGTCACTGAACGCTGGAGGCACCCCAGTCACCCCTCGCCGAGTCTCCTGGCGGCAGCGCATCTTCCTCAGGGTGGCGTCTCCCATGAACAGATCTCCCTCGGCCATGCAGCAGCAGGGTCTGTGTGGCGCTCACTCCAGAATCTCCGCTCACTAGCACCTTAACTTAGGGAAGGGATGCAGTGGTTTGTGCACAAAGGGATATATGGATTACAGTGGAGAAATAATGTCTCTTTCTGTATCTGATACTTCTCAGACATGATTAGAACATACCAGACCCTCAGTAAATGCTTGTTTAAGGAATGATCGAGCGAGTGAACAAGTTTCCAAAACCAGGAACTGTGATAATGCTAGAAAAGAAGTCACAGATTTTTTTTTAACTCTTTCTATCTTGAAATTTTTTAAATTAAGTTTATTGGGGAGTGGTCACTAAAGTACAGGTTTCAGGTGTGCAGCTCTATAACACATCATCCACTTACGGCATCGTACAGCCACCACCCCAAGTCGAGCCTCCTTCCACCACCGCTTACCCCTCTTCGGCCGCCTCCCGCCTCCCCCGCCCTTTCCCCTCTGGCAGTCACCACACTCCGGTCCGTGTCTTTGTGTTTCTTTTCCCTTAATCCCCCTTCACCTCTGCCGCCCAGGCCCCACAACCCCCGTCCCCTCTGATAGCTGTCAGTATGTTCTATTCAATTATAGTAGACATTCAACATAGTCATGGACCCTTTTATTCTTAGAAAAGCAATGTACTCTCTTTTAAGAGTCACACATAAAACAAAGGGACTTAACAACGTTGAACAATAAGGAAAAGGATACGGATACACCAGGCAAATACCAAGCAGCAAAGAGAGCGTGGCAGCTCTGTTCCAATGTTAGGCCTTTTGGAAATTAAAGCAAAAACACACAAAGGGGAAAGTGACTGTAACAATAAACAAAAAGATGTAACAATAATGAGAACACACGTAAGTACACATTCCTGAAAGCTAGAAAATAACAACTTTTGGCAGAAATAAATCAGTAGCTCTTGTGGAAGATTTTGCTATATTCCTCTCTGCAAATTAAATATAGAGAAATTAAATAACAGATAACAATTGGGAAATACAATTAAACAAGGTTAATCTAATAGTTATACTGAACCTTGCCACCTGGAGAGAAACTTCATTCATTTTTAGCACACATGGGGCAGTCATAAAAATTAACTGTGTACTTGGCTACAAAGATTTCTTAATGAATTCCAGACAGTCCAATCATTAGTACTGTATTCTCTGATCACAGTGCAAATAAGAAAAAAGAAAAGAAAGAACAATGAAGAAATAAAAGAAAGCAAGGAGTCAAAACTTAGAGGACAACTAAGTATTTTATGCATCTGGAAACTGAAAACAACTAGAAACTAGAAGGGCGAAAATATGATCAGAGCCCTACATATCAAAATCGAGTGGTATTTAGAGGACATTTCTAAAATTGAGCAAGCCAAAACTCAAATGTCCTGAATAGTCAACTCAAGAAGCTGAAACAGGAACAACAGTGTAAAAAAAAAAAAATCTTTAGGGGAAGGCAGAGACAAATGTATTTAAAAAGTAAATAAATTAATTTAAAAAAAAATCTTTAATTACTAAGAAAATAAATAAGGGTAAGCGTGGAGGTCAATTAATAAATTTAAAAAAAAAAACAAGAAAACAATTGCCATTACTAAAAATAAAATTAACTCTTCCTAAACTGGTCAGGAAAAGCTTCACAGAAGTTAGCTCTTTATTTAAACTCATTGCTGTTTCAGAAAGAGGAACTAGCAAAGCTCTAGAGTCATGGAAGGGAATTTCGCAGGTCAGAGAACCCTCAGAAATGAAGCACTGGGAGCAGAGGATGGGAGATGGCGAGGAGTGTGGAAAGGTTATGTGAGGCCAGGGTCTGAAGGGATCCGTCTACTCTCCCCAGTAGTTTCACTTGGTTCTTTGGGCTGGAAGCAACCATGGACAAATTCTAAGAGACATGATCATATTTGTTAATGTGTTAAGTAAAAGTGGCAAAGAGTACAAAAGATGGCCTGGACGAGGGAGAAAACGCGCTCCGGGAGCTGGGTGAGAGAGGGCTGCAGGAGCCGTGCGCAGCGGTGCGGGGCCCGGCCCGGCCGGCGCGGCGCCGCCGCGTGCCTCGTGGGGGATTCGCACGGTGGAGGCAGCCCGTGGGAGGTCCCTCGTACCGCCTCACGGAAACGTATTGCTTTGCACAGCGAACACACACGGGTCAATTGCAGAAGTGTTATGACACTGGGGAAAGGCCAGTTCATTTTGGAGTACCTGTCTTCTAGGTCATTTCGTGCAGAAAGGAGAAGTGGTGAAATTACACACGCTTTCATTTCACGGCAGGAGGGAAATCTGGAAGGGGAATTCAGTCTAGTGAGTACTTAAACCCTTAGTTCCAGAAACGAGCAGCTCCTGGGAACGTGGCTTTGTGCAAAGCTTTAAAAGCGGACTCTCGGACGAGAGAGCGTCGGTTCCGGAGAAAACTTCTGTAGTCTGGGTGACTGCTGTGGAATGCCTCTCACTGTGTTCTTCTCCGCAGATGGACTGGACAGGAATGAGCTGCTGCCACTGTCCCCTCTTGCTCCCACCATGGAAGAGGAGCCGCTGGTTATATTTGTGTCTGGGGACGATGACCCAGAAAAAGTGGAAAAAAGAAAAAAATCAGAAGAACTGAGGAGTTTGTGGAGAAAAGCTATACACCAACAAATTTTGTTGCTTCGAATGGAAAAAGAGAACCAGAAACTTGAAGGTTAGCCATTCAAACAGGGCTAAGTAATATGATACTATAATGTAAGGTTGTAGGTTAAAACTGTCCTTCTGCCCCCGCAAACTCACACTCATTTTGGGACTCACTTTTACTAGACTGTCTACCGATTATAATTGTTTATTTGTTTTGTGAGGTGGTTATGACATGGGAAAAGTAGCTTAAGATATTTGCGGTTTGGTTTGCTAGATTTAAAACATCAGGCACCCTTAGAATATATTTGCATTATATAGACAGTAGATAAAATGGTAATACAGCAATATGTATTTATATGACTGAAATATCATTGTGCATTAATTAAAAAAAAACTCTTATAGAAAAGCAAATTCTGTTCTTGTTGAATACGATTTTCAACTTTCAGTCTATTTGATTTTGTAATAGGATAAATTGACTATTTCAGATAAATTATATTGTATCTAAGTCAGCTGTGTAATTAATTACACATTATCAAATCAGAGTTTCTATTTTTTGTTACTGCTTTATAAATTTTCTATTCAAAAATCATATTCAAACCATTAAATTTATAATTGGATACTTTATAGTAGCTACTGTGCTATTTATAATGCTTTTTTTTGCTAAGTTTATGAATACCAAATGCTTTAGAATGTGTTTTTCAAACTTTGAACTATTAATGTTATTTACTCAAGTACTGATAGAATCATACACGAGATGTATAGTCAGTGCCAAAACATATTAAGGCCATTATCTTTGGCAAATCACTTAACATAAAAGTGCCTTGTGTTTTACATTTGTAAAATGAAAGGTTTAGCTTATGTGGGCCCTTTGACTTTTCAGAGTCTCAGAAACTATGCAGTCTAGGTTTGTCTTTGAGTTGCTTTTATTGTGTTGTCTTCAGAAAAGCTTTTTTAATACAGGTATTAATATTTCTATATTCATTGTCTGTCTTAAGATTCCTCTTATTATATCTGTTGTTCAGTTCAATTTTTAATTTCAACAATATTTAGTTTGCAAGTGCACAGTTTATTTTATTGTTATTTTTGTAGGAGAGTAAGAAGTACTACAATTTTTCTTATTCCTAGGAAATAAATTTTTTCTTTAAAATAAAAGTGTCCACTTGAACTTCCACAGATCTTTGAAAGGAATTGAATTTACAAGGTAGGACAAAAGTAGATCCAGTTCTTTGTATGTAAAATAGTGCAATAATGAAGAAATAATAATACAAGGATAAACTCTGTGTTTCACATCTTCACAACTATAAACCTGCTTTTGCCCCACCTTGTATGTTTTTAAGCAATTGGTTACATCTTGAACTAACTCTCAGACAGAAAAAAAGGTTGTAGAAAGAATGACTCTTATTCCTTTAAAACATTTAAAGCATGAAATTATATTTCAACACTTGGGAGTATGTACAAGTAGAATCTTATATTAAATTTCAAAGGATAGTTTTAATATCAAGACTATTTGAATTGGAAATGGCCTTAGAGATTGTTAAGTTCCATTTTTCATTCTGCAGCTGAGACAGTGATTGGCTTGGGAAGGGGAAGGAATTAACCTGGAGTCACACAGTGACATACTGGCGGACAAGTACTAAAACTCAGGTCTACTTCTTCCGATTCTTGGGCTTTTCCCAGTATGCCACAGTTTTTTCTCAACTACGTGTGTTAATAGAGAGAAATGGAATAGTTTAGTGCAAATGACTATGTGTATTTTGAGGTCAGTTATACTATTTAAATGGACAAAATAAGAAAGGAGGTGACGTTTAGAATATATTATAGAAAACTTTATCAGTTTTATATTTATTTCTGTACTTATGTTACAAAGACAAAAAGTAATTTCACTTATTACAGGTCTAGCCAATGGATAATATTTCTTCATGGTGCTTTATTCTTGCCTAGTTAACCAGTTGAAGGCAGAGGTTAACTGCTCTTACTTAGCAGATTATCCTCAGGGCCTGCGGCTGGCACATAGAAGGTGCTTTTTACTTATTAAATAAATAATTAATTAATTAATCCTTACCTGTGGCTATGTTTATTGACCTTAGAGAGAGAGGAAGAAGTAGGGCGAGGGTAGGGAGGAGGGAAGGGAGACGGAAGCAGGGAGAGTGAGAGAGAGAGAGAGAGACTGATGTGAGAGAGAAACATCAACGTGAAAAACATCCATCATTGCCTCCTGTACGCACCCCAACTGGGGATTGAACCCGCAGTCTAGGTATGAGCCCTGACTGGGGATCAAACTTGCAACCTTTTGGTGTATGGGATGATGCTCCAACCAACAGAGCCACCTGACCAGGTCTTTATTACCATTTTAAATGAAAAATGGTCTAGAGAATGTTGGAGAAAAAGAAAATCTGGAGATACGCTCTGTTCATTGTGAAAAAAATCATTAGTGAAGTTACATCTAGGAATATGTTTATTATTAACTTTAATGAACTCACTCCTTTTATTTGATTATCATAGAGAAATATGAAGCAAGTATTGAAGCAAAGCTAAATTGTGTTAGAAAGCCATCTAGTGGTATCCAGGAGGAATATTTTTGCAGTGCGATTTACTTTTTGATTATGCCTGGATTTTTAAGTAGAAATTTTTACAGCCCTGCTTGAATAGCAGTCTATTGTAAGATATTTAGATTCTTTTGGAAAGATTTCAAACAAACTAACTAGAGAGTAATACTCATTTTGCCATTGTTTTTGTGCTGTCGAGGACTTTGGATGCATGATAAAGATTTGTGTTGCAGAAGGTAAGGAGGTTGAGCTCTGGGGGCTTGAACGGATGCGGATTACTCTGAGAGACTCCTGTTCAATGTGATACTAATGAAAGAAAAAAATGTATACTTACATGAGTTTTCTTGTTGCTTCTTTTTGAAATCAAATAAAGACCAAGTGAAGATAGTGGTTACTTCTATAGGCATTTCTTTTAATGAACCTTGGGCTTATATTTTAGACCATCAAATGAAAGGGAATATTGTACTATTTAAAAAGGGAAGTAGTGACAACTCCCGTAACATGAATTTTCCTCTTTTAGATTATTAAAAATGAACAAAGGAGCACATAACTCAGTATTGTTAAGGGCAATGTTGCCAACTCCAGAATAGTTATAAAAATATATCAGGTTATTATGGTTAAGTATTTTGCAATCAAGGTTAGCATGAGGCATTGTTTCCTCATTTATGTCAAATATAAAATCCTAACAGTTTATGGTCTTTGAAATGATGCATGCTGTCACATCTGAGGCTCTTACGTTTATCAAAAAATATTTCAATTATAAATTTCATTATAGCACAGGAAATGTGGTTTGTTTTTATGTTTAGTATGAAATGACTCAAAGTTTGAGAACTTTTTACGTATCCTCAATTTTTTTAAAAGTTTCTTCTTGAGAAAATGTTACTTCTTGATTCCTAGGAGTCATTTGCTGTGGTTTTACAAATACAATAAAATGTTAAAAATACTGTATTTTAAAAACACATTGATCTTACATAAATTCTCTTGTTTTTCTCAGCAAGCAGAGATGAACTCCATACCAGAAAAGTTAAACTGGACTATGAAGAAGTTGGTGCATGTCAGAAGGAGGTCTTAATAACTTGGGATAAGAAGTTATTAAACTGCAGAGGAAAAATCAGATGTGATATGGAAGATGTTTATGCTTCTCTTAAAGAAGGTAATCTGGAACATCTCCATCTTTTTTAGAGAAGCTACAGTGATTTTTTTGGTTTCTGCAACCCAGGCATACTTTTGTCTTTGTGCTTTACGTATAAAAAAAGGAAAGTAATTATTTCTGCTCTCAGCCAGTCACTCAGTTGGTGAGAAATGCTGCTAATGGAGAGACTACCTCCAAGGAGAGAGCAAACCCCTTTTCTGCCGGCTTTCCTGCCCCCTTCACCAGCTGTTCTCAGCTCTCTGTTGTTGCCAGGGAAGGAGTGGATTCGTTGGCATAGATCTTTAACCATATCCATAAAAATGATCAGACTTACAACCCCGACTCATTTCCATCATTTGGTCTGAAGAGTTTATTTACATACATGTAAACATATGTATGCATATTCACCTACATGTATGTGTTTATATATACAAAATTATATTCTTATTAATCAGTTAATCAGTTTTCCTTCCATCTGTTTCCTTCTTACTTTATTTTGGAAGAGTTACTTTTATTTAACCATTACATTGCATTGCTACTCTGCCGTATAAAAGGACTGATATTTAAACATCTTAAGTGTAAAATGAAAACTAACATGTGAATACTTTAAGTGCATTTCTGTGACCCAGGTTACATACATATGTTGAGAATCTCCATGGCCTGCATAACCTGGGTGTAAAATAAAAATCCAAAAGTACCCAAAGAAATCTGATAATGAATCTTGTTTCTGAAAGTTATGGCAATGTGGGAAACTGTTGCATAACTAAGTTTACATTACGATTAACTTTGCAAGATGCTACATTTACAAGCCTAATATATTGGTATTTTCCCTTGAGGATAAGGAAATCCTGAAGAGTTTCATTGAAAGCCTTACCTGGGAGACAAAGCAGTGGTTACTAGAATGTGTGAGATGTATGACTTTTAATGATGTTTTAGGGATGCTCATTTCCCTTTTCTAATAGGACACAGTTTAAACTTCTGAGCATTTTGCCCAAGACCTTCCATTGTGATCTCACTTTCTGCCTCTTGCCATCTTGTATCATGTGCCCCAGAGTGACTGTGAGTCCCTGTATGTGCTCGGCTCTTTCTTGCGTGGAGCCTGCGGCCTCCCTCCACTCCTCCTTCCTTACCGTGCTACCTGCTCCCTTTCCGACTCCCTTTCTCTCCACCCCATCTTCTTCTCTCTCCTCCACCCACCACCGTTCCCCCCTCTCAGGACATCCCCACTTCCTCCTTCTGAAGCAATGGCTGCCCACACTCCCCGTCTGGAGAACCCTCTTCCTCCCAGATCGTATGCCTGTCCCTCTCCTACACCGAAAGGAATTAGTCACACTTTATTGTTCTTCCTTATGATTCTTTTCCTTTAATTGTGGCTATCGTTATTTGTAATTTTGTATTTACATGTATATTTGTTTAATGTTTTTCATACCCCACCACTGTATACCTCGCATCTAAAACAGTGTCTTGCACAAGTTATTTACTGAGTGGATGAAGGGTGGGATGGATGGATGGATGGATGGATGGATGGATGGATAGATGGATGGATGGGTGGATGGATGGATGGATGGATGGATGGATGGATGAATGAATGAGCCTAATCTTCCTGAGAATGGATTTATTCATCTCTTATTACTGAGGTACCCTCTGTGCCATGCTCTGTACTCTCTGCTCAATAAATATTTGTTTAACTGAAGTGAATTACCTTTTTGTAAAACTGTTACTGGGCGGATAATAAAACATTCCACCCCCCGTTATCAGTAATTCATTTAATGAGCTCATGGAAATTACCTTCTAAAATGGAGATTTTACATGAGATTACTCATTAATCATTCAACAGATGTTTAAATAGCAAGATGTATTCTTGGACTTCATCATAGCAAGATAAAAGCACGCTCACTGTTCTCAAGGAACTTGAAGTGAGGAAAATAGGCAAACATACGGTATAGAGCTGTGATCCAGTGTAGCAGTGTTATAAGTAGAGTATGAGTCAAATAGTATGTGGACAGGGAGTGATTACTCCTAGAAATGTCAGGGAGTTTTCAGCAGAAAAGTGTCATTCAGCCTCATCCATAAAAGGCAAACAGAAATGCACTAGGCATTCAAGTGGGGGCGCTTGGATTTCCCTACGGCAACAGTGAGAAACTGGGATGTGAAAATGACTAAAGCTTCTCATACTCAGTGCATGGTGGGGAGAGGGAGGTAACTGGACCGGAAAGTGGTGGGGAGGTTTACTGGGGAAGACCCTACCGGTCCTTGCAGTGAGCCCGAGTTACACCTTTTGGACAGTAACACTCTCAGCTTGTGCAAACTGTGGCCTTGCAGCCCGAAAAAGAGTATTGCCATTAAAGCTTCCTTTAACCAGCTGGAACTCAGGAACTTGTTACAGAGCTAGCCTATCTGAACGGAAAATACTTAGTGAAATAAAGTGAGCTGCTCTGCATAGAATTGAATTCTGCCCCTCCCAGTGCTTACTTCCCATTCTTTCGCATGCAAAGCATAGTTTCCCATACTTTGGATTGCTTGTGATGCCCTTTGGTTTTCAAGCATAGTGGAGTTAATGTTTCATTATGTAGGCTAGATATTTTCTTCTTAAAGGCTAAAGATTGTTCTGTAGCACTTGAGTGCTACCTTCATATTGTATTTCTCATTTTTATTTTTTCATTCTTCTATGACCATATAAGAATGGTATTTAATTCTCTTTCACAATGTTATTTGGTTGTGACAAATATTTAGAAGTCATAATATGAAGACTGGCATTTGTTACTAGCTTCAGACCAAATAAAAGGTAACCAGAGAAGTATAATACATTTCATGATTTCTGAATTTGGCCTCTGAAACCAGATTTCCAGAGTTCTAATTCTAAACTGCCTCTTGTTAGCTGTGTGAATTTGGGCAAGTTATTTAGCCTCTTTCTGCCTCAGCCTCACCATCTGTAAAGTGGGCATAACAGCAATTACCTCTCTTATTGGGTTGTGTTCTGAGCACAATTACCATGTTTAGTGGTAAGGCACCTTCAACAAATGTTGCATTTGATGCTCCCTCCATGTCAACCGATGCTGTTAATATTGCCCTTATTATCATTGTTATTTGAGGGTTCTCTCTCGCAAGGCACCAACAGCGACAGCATTAGATGTGGCAGAATGTGCTCCCTTGGCACATCATGCTGCGTGATCGTTCGGGGGCGTGCAGACAATATAGTGGCCTGTTTTCAAGCATTTCATAGTTCACCAGCTATGATTTAGCAACTTCACTCCAGAATTCAAGACTGTGCTTCTTCATCTTTGGTCATAGGTGTTCCCAAAAGCCGGCGAGGAGAAATCTGGCAGTTCTTAGCTTTACAGTATCGCCTAAGGCACAGATTGCCTACCAAGCAGCAGCCTCCTGACTCATCCTATAAAGAACTTCTGAAGCAGCTCACCGCGCAGCAGCACGCCATTCTCGTGGATTTAGGTACGTTTGTCCCGTGGATTATTATTTACAAAAGGAAACAATACGTTTGTTTGTTGTGTTGTTTGCTTGTTTGTTTTTTTTGATGTCGAGAAAGAGGCTCTGTTGGCCTGTGTAGAGCTACTCACTTTGCCCTGATCAGAGGGCAAGCCGGGTTTCTCTCTCATTGAAGATACCATAAATGCCTGAGTATGAAATGAAGTTTTTGCTCCCAAACTTGCCCTCTGAGAAAGGAATGATCTTATTTGTTAGTCATTATAAAGGTCATATTATCAGATACTCTCTCAGTTCCTGTGTTTTAAATAACTGACTTTTGTTTGCGGTAGGCAGTTACCTCAATCAACAGTGATTTTGAAATAGGTGAGAATAGCTTTAAAGGGCTACTAAATCTTTTTTTAAACAAAGACCTACTAAGTATACCTAGACATAGGACTGAAAAACAAGCCTTTGAATGTAACTTTAAAAAAATAGTGTAACTGGTGGCTATGTTGTGGGAATCATGAACACATCCGTACAGGATGGAAGAAAAGCCACATGTGGTGCATGGTATGTGATCAGGTGGTCGTGACCTGGGGCAGAGCTGCCAGTGACGACACCACATGGCTTCTTTGTAAATGCTGAATTTCAAGAAACTTAAGAAAGTAAAAACAGTATTATTTTAAAAATTATATTGTGTCTAGTTTTTCTCTAAAATAACATATTATAATATGTATTTTATTATTTTAAAATATCAAAGTTATTGGATTAAATATTGTACATTTACATTTGCCTATTTCAACTGTATCCCTAACATTGATATGTTTAAGGTAGACAGATATGTTTCTTGAGCTCATTTGTGAAAACAAGGGGCCAGCTGATGTTTGGAGTCACCTGGTGTTAGGGCATCTAAAAATAACTGGCCAAAACCTAGTTTTGACCTCTCTGTTCCTTTTAGATGACAGCTTTTCTTGGGACAGGGGTCCAAATAGGGTAATATTTTTGAGCCCACCATAATTAAAGAGGAGAAAGAAGGGGAAGGGACTAGTTCAAGAACATGTATGAATGATCCGTGGGCACAGACGACGATGTGGGATGGACTGTGGGAGCGGGGGTGGGCCGGGCGGAGGCAAAAAAGGGCAAAGGGGGGAAAGTGGGACAACTGTAATACAATAACAGTAAAAAATTTAAAACCTAAATAAGAAAGAATTAAAAAGGAGAATTTTACAAACAAACTAAAAACTTCAGTTCTTGCACTGATTTTACCACTGAACTGTGGTTTTAGGCAAATTACTTTGCTTCTGAGTCTCAGTCCTTCCTCTTAAATGAAGACTTGGAATTAGGCAGTCCCTGCGTATCCGTGCAGATCTGTGGTTCTGTGCCTGGAAACTGAGGATGAGACTAGAAATTGGGATGACACATTTAGGGCTGGTCAAGCTGCCCTAATGAAGAGAAGGAGATGATGAGATCAGATTACAGGGACTTATTTATATAATTTATTTATAGGTTTTTTGGGTTTTTTTAGCAAAAATTTTAACTGAGAAAGTAAAATAATTTTTAAAAATGCTTATTTGACTCTGCTGGCAGCCATCAAATAAGCCATTTCCTCAGCATGTTCTTGTTATTTCTTTTTATCTTTTCCTTACTTGCTCTGCAGAATTAATCTTATCAGTTCCTAGAGGAGAAAATCACTTTTAAGCATATATAGTGGAAAACATTAAAAATCTGGAATTCTTGCAAGTTTTAACTGACATGAATAGTCATTTCACAAGGAAGCTAACACTGCCTCATTTTAATGGCACAAGGAAGGCCTGGGCAGTGTGCACAGCTTAGGTGGAAGGTGGGCTTGTTTCACTGTTTCATGCCAGCTTTTCAGTGATCCAGGGCTGATTGTAGTTCCTTGCTAAAGTGTCTCTATGGTAATTTTATATCCAAAGGTGAATTTTTAAAAAGATTATATTGATTTATTTTTAGGGAGAGGGGAAGGGAGGGAGAAAGGGAGGGAAAGAAACATCAGTGTGTGGTTGCCTCTCATGCGCCCCCTACTGGGAACCTGGACTGCAGCCCAGGCATGTGCCCTGACTGGGAATCAAACCTGCGACCCTTTGGTTCACAGGTCATCCTCAATCCACTGAGCCACAGCAGCCAGAAAGAGGGAACTTTCTTTTGAAATCACTTTAGCCCTTTACTTTCCTTGTCCTTGTGGGCTATATTGAAAACAAAGAAGAGGCCTCCATGGCTCATGGAGGTGGCATAAGAAGGAGAGAGCAAAGGATGTTTGAAAAATAAGTGTTTCCTGAATGAGAGACTGAATATAAAACAAACAAACAAAAAAACCCAAAGTCCCTCCAGTGTCATATGATAAGGGAAGCAGGAATGAGTCTGCCTAGGACTACAAAGATTTCTTTTTAAATAATATGATACCTCTTATAGAATCCTGGTTTCAGTTAGCGGGTGGTCTTATGTGACGTTAGAATTTGCCTTGATTTATAATCAGAATAAATTCTGTATTTTATTCTCCTGAGATCTCTTCTGGATATGTCCTGGATTTGTTTGTAGATTTTTTTTCCTGGATAGAAGTTAGGGTTAGCATAGAACGTTTACTGCCCTAGCTTCTATGTGGAGATAAGGTGGTGATCTGGCAGGCAAGACTTGGAACTAGAGAGAGAGACAGGCAGACAGACTTAGTTACATGAGTACCCCAAGCAACTCTCGCTGGTTTGGAAAGAAATCACTGCATTGCATTTTGCTCTGGTCTCCAAGACACGGGACATCTCAAAAATATTTCTTTTCCTCTGCAGGAAGGACATTTCCTACTCACCCTTACTTTTCAGCACAGCTTGGGGCAGGGCAACTGTCACTCTTCAACCTCTTGAAAGCCTACTCATTGCTGGACAAAGAAGTGGGTTACTGTCAGGGGATCAGCTTTGTGGCTGGAGTCCTGCTTTTGCACATGAGTGAGGAGCAAGCCTTTGAGATGCTGAAATTCCTCATGTATGACCTGGGCTTCCGCAAGCAGTACAGGCCCGACATGATGTCGCTGCAGGTGAGGCTGTAGACATTCACGAGGAATGCATGACGTTGTTACCAGAAATCTTAGCACAGCCCTCTTCTAAATTGCAGTGGATTCAAGGAAATTTGCACTTACGGTCTTGGAACGTAGGTAAATGTAGAGCACGTTTCAGTCCATGGAATTTGCTATTTTGCTAAACTTCTAAGTATATGACATCCATATGCAGAATAACTTTTCCATAAATTCCTGAAGTGAATAAATAGGCAGTTCAAGGAACACCGTGGGTACTCAAGTCTCTATCCCTGAAGTCTACATGTTACATGGGATGCGTCGTCATCTTTATTCACTTGTCCTCATCCGGTCAGTTGCAAAGAATCATAGATCTTTTGTTTAAAATCAGAAGGTAAGTCTTTATTCATTTATTCACTTTGAGTGAATAAATGACAGATACTTATGTCATGGACTTCTTGAGCTGAACATGTCTCCTCTTTTATCTCAAAGTCAGATAGGTCCTTAGACAGGAAAAGTGTTCCCAGTGGGTGGCGCTGGTTCAGCTGCTTGCCTTAGCACGCTCTGAGGAAGCACTGTTAAGGTTTTCTGGTTAAGTAGGGTAGTCACTGCTCCTGCTGTTTTTGGCCTATTTCAAACTCCTGTTTACACATTTCCCCTCTCTAGTTTAAACTTCCCTTTCCTTAGTATTGGTATTGATACTTTCCATTTAAAGCTTTTAGGAGTAAAAATATAAAGGAAGACCTTAAAGAGAAGAAGGTCAGGGTTCTCCTGCTTTGAAGGGAAGTAGGCATGATACCTAGTTAGTCATAATATTATGCTTTAGGTAACAAGTGAAATATTTAAAAATGCTTTTATTTTTATTTTTTAATTTTTTAAAATTTAATTTAATTTTATTTTTAGATAGAGGGGAAGGGGGAGAAAGAGAGGGAGAGAAACATCAATGTGTGGTTGACTCTTGCACACCCCTTACTAGGGACCTGGACCGCAACCCAGCATGCGCCCTGACTGGGAATTGAACCGGCGACCCTTTTGGTTCACAGGCCGGCATTCAATCCACTAAGCCACATGCAGCCAGGGCTAAAAATGCTTTTAAAATGTATTTTTTTTTCCTGTTTCCCAGTGATCAGCTTTCTCTTTTAATATTTTAATTACCAACCCACAGGCCAAAAAAGACTGTTTTCTCTTTATGAATATTATAGTACGTGAGGTTTTCTTGGGAGGGTGAGTGCAGAAATTTTTCTTCATGAAGATGAAATTTTTGCCAGGGAGATGGGGCTTTGCTCTCAGTGTTCTGTTTTTAGGTATAAGTTCCTATGAGGTATGTTCACCAGGAAACATAAACCAGATACCTTGATTTGATTCCTAATTCATGACCATTCTCACAATATCTCACAAGTGAACATCCCACAAGTGTAATAGCAATGACTATGGAAGGTTTTATTTTTCAGTCTATTTCTAAACAATTTACCTACATCTCATATCTGACAGGAAGTATTGGTGCCTTTGTAAGGAATTAAATAGCTCTAATTTCCAGGAATACCAGTTTGGTAGCTATCTTTAGAATTTCGAAGAATGTAGAAGACCTGTGAATAGTTGATTTTGGTCGATAATAGAAAGATAGATAGAGCTATCACTTCATAAATTCAGTGATCTTTTTATTTAAAAATATTTCATCAATTTGACATTAAAAATTCTTATCAGGTGGACTGATATGCATACATTAATATGCCTTGCAATTACCAAGAAATATGTTATAGCTATACTTATGAAAATGAAGATGTTTTACAACTATGGGACATTTACACAGTGGAATTCTATTTGGCTGTAAAAAAGAAGAAAATTTTACCCTTTGCAACAATATGGATGGACCAGGAGAACATTATGCTAAGTGAAATAAGCCTGTCAGAGAAAGACAAACACCATATGATTTCACTGATATGTGGAATCTAACAAACAAACCGTACTAACAAGCCAACTCCTAGATGGAGGGCAGATGACAGCTAGTGGTGTGGGAGGTTAGTGGGTGGAGGGACTGATCAAAAAAGAAAAAGGACTCATGGACATGGACCCAGGGTGGTGATTGCTGGGCAGAGGGGGTATAAGGAGACTAAATGGTAATGGAAAAAATATAATAAAGATTATATACTCAAAAAGAAAATGGAGGTGTTTTTAAATCTTTGGTGGTAACATTCTTATAGGCCACAGGACAGGGGACCTTATTCTCGGAGAGTAGATCTTTTTTGTTTTGCCAAGTGAGATAAACACTTTTTCACCTTCTAGAGAAAGAGGTGTTTTTTATCCAGTCAATATGCGTTTCAAAAGTGGAAGCAGCAACGGACTCGGGATCACTCGATTGGATTTCTGGTGATCTGTGTAGTGTGAGCTTGGCGTTGCAGGCTCTCTCTCCTTTACCTTACCGTTTTTTGTGTGTCTGCTGTTAACTCTGCTAAGTATAAAAGCATTATTTTTTTATAATGCTTTTAAAAGCATTATAAAAGTAGAAGTCTGTGATCTCCACTTTATCCCATCTTCTCATTCCTCACCCTTCTCTCCTCTCCCTGCATCTCCCCTCTTCCATCTGAAGATTTGTCATGTTATCTATGAGGTAAAATAAAAGAATTATTATTCTTAGAAAATGGCATTTTATTATTAAAGCTTCCTTTGAAAGAAGACTGAATTGTGTTTTTATTTGCCTTTTTCAAAAGAAATTTAATGTAAATATACCTTGATGAAATATTTTCCACCTCTAGTTTAGAATATAGGAAAAAAATAAGGTCTGTTTAAAATAAATTAATCATTGAAGTATTGGTTCTGTATTATGATCATAACTGAACAAGCACAGAACGCTTTTGATGCCGCGCTACTTTTTGTTCTCCTGATTAGATTTCTCTGATTTTTGTGTTACCAAACTACTTCTTATAGCATTTACTGACATAACTCAGTATGTCTAGTTTATAAATTGAAAATGACCTGAGGGAAATATTTTTTCAATATGCCTTATTAAGATAATAATCTCATTTTTTAAACTCTTCTATTTGTGTGTAGCTAAGCTTCTTATAGCTATCTATGGCTTACTGTGGCTCTTTCTTTCCATTTATGGTTTGCTGTCAAACCTTAGTTTTCACAGATATGTGTTATAGATAAAGGTCAAACAAGTAATTTGTCTAATTTTATATAGTACTTTGAATTTTAGTTTTGTGCTCTGGAAATAACAGTTGCTGAATTCACGGTATAGTTGGGTATTTTAATGTATTTTTGTAGAGCTAACTATGTAAGGGCGATATTTTGATGATAATTTCTAGTAAAAGAAGTTCTGACAGATTTTATAAGATACTGTAAACATTTCACACCAGAATGTCAAGCTTATGTAACTGCTCAAGGAAGCACTATTCAATCTCTTACTGCATGAGTAAAAATATAAATTAAAGCCCAGCTCACAAATTTGTTTATTATTTGCTACTGCTTAACCTTTAATTACCTTAGACATAAGAGTTTAAAAGTTGCTATATACTATCTTTAAAATTTTTTTGAAATACCAGTAATCAACTCAGTAGCCAGGTGAAATAATTTCTTCTTTTAATACTAGAAACATTCAGATTGCACTTTTTGCTTTAATCCCCTTTGTCCTGAAAAATAAACTGCTGGAATATCTTGAACATTAGAAATCACATCTCAAACTTTTTGCTCTACATTCTATGCCTAACAGTGTCCTAACATTGCAGATTGCCCGGTGGGACTAGGCCCGAGCTGCATCGTAAATCACATGCCGAGCCCAGCAAATAGAGTTAGGTTTTGCTTCTAAACTGAATGTGGTCTGTTCTTTTTAGAATGGAGGCTTTTCTGGGATTGGTCTGAAATTAGAATGAGCCTTCCATGAGCATCCTGAACCAGGAAAGTTCAGATTAAATTCCAAAAGCAATGCCTTCCTACATGAGGAAAAATGACCATGTCCAGATACATGTTAAACCAAAACACATCTTTCAGCAAAATTTGCTCAACAGTCTTAGATGGCCTTTCTGTGACTTGCTTTTATGACCTAAGTGAACTTGGACTTGAACATCAACTTTAACATAACAATAAAAATAAAATAATCCTGCTTTTATTTATTGAATATAATAAATACGTGTCATCAAATACTAAATAAAATCAAAGTGTGTGTATTTTATGCACCCAGAGATAAATGCATTATATTTTACTTTCTTCTCCCAATTAACTTTAGATTCAGATGTACCAGCTGTCCCGACTCCTTCACGACTATCACAGAGATCTCTACAATCATCTCGAAGAAAATGAAATCAGCCCCAGTCTTTATGCTGCCCCCTGGTTCCTCACATTGTTTGCCTCTCAGTTTCCACTAGGATTTGTAGCCAGAGTTTTTGGTAAGAGATTCCTATGATCAAATGGAACAGTCTTACTTATTCCAAGGAATATACTTCTAGCCAATTGTTTTATCTTGTGTCATACAGAATAGCAAATTGATAGTGGAATTTCATAAATGTGCCTGGTTCTATTCTGAGAGTAATTTGAAACCATATTGGTCTTAAATAAAATTGATATTACAAAGGAAAGAAGAATTGGGTTACTGTATTTGAGTAAGTGATATTGGAGGACTTATTTTCATTTATAGATAAAAATCAGAGTAGACTTTTAAAAAAAATCCAAACTAAGAACTTACCCTGTTTAATTTTCCAAATTTTCATCCATATCTTTCCAACTTCTCTTTTTCGTTTTTGACTTTTTCTCTTTCCCCATTGTCTTCTTCAACCTGGATGCAAACAGAGAAACATGGTCTCTGATGGGATCAATGGAAGTATCTATGTCAATATAATTTCCAATAGCCTCTTACTCTGACCTTTTGTTGTTAACAAGGTAACCGACATCCCTTGCTTAAGCGCCTCTCCTCCCTTGCCCGTGCCGTGGTGGCGCCCGTCTCCCCAACGGAGGCCCCGGGGAGAGCACTGGGCTCGGGCAGCAGGGCCTGGGCACGCGGGTGGCCCCTGTCTGGCTCCATCCCAGTGCCGGGCACCGGGAAGACGAGGGGAGTATGACATGATGTGCTCCCTCCGGGGGCCCTTAGATCTTTTCCCAAGTCTATAGTTAGGTTTGTCTTAAGTTCGTTATTTAAAAAGCAGACAATTTTTAATCAGCAGCTCCTGAATAGAAGCGTGTTCTAGAGTTGGCTAGGGACTTGATGGCCTCAGGCGTGGCTCCCACAGTGGTGGTGTTCTGCTCCTCTCTCTGGCATCCTGGGTGCAAGTAGCCAATGTTTATTAACTGTGCTTTTGCTAACTGGGCGCTTTTTGTCACATTGTATTGGCCCAATTGGAGGTTATTACCCACATTAGAAAAAAAATGAAATGTATAGAATACTGTGAAAATATCAGAGAGTTTTGGCAAATAATAAGGGAAATGTTTGGAGAAACTTCAGGTTTTAAGGTATTTGTGTAATATGTATATCCATACCAGATTACAATGTCCTGTGTCTTTCGTATTGGGGGCTGTGGTTTAAAAAGTGAAACACTCTATTAGCAACAATACGCTCTATAGACAGAGTGAAGCAAAAGAGTAAATTCAAGATGCCCGGGATCAAACGTCCATCAAATTTCTCTCCTTTATTGAATGCACGTGATAGCTGTTCTCCAGGGACGTTTTCTCTGCAGCTTGGGGTCTTATTAGTAGGTCTTCTATAGATTTTATATATAAGGATATTATGATGTTTCGGGGCATCTCTTTGACTTATCCTTGGAAGCTTGATATCAGAATTTAAGAAAGAACTCTGTTTTTGCTATGAGAACCTGTATGAATGATGCTGTCGACTCTGCCATAGCTGCTCAACCCTTCTCTTTGAATTTAGTGAAGGATAGAGACTCCAAGAAGGGGAATGATGCATGAGCAGGGAGATGACCAGGCTTGAAGTAATTGTTTCGCAGTTCTCTTTTTAAAGACTGCAGAGGGAACAGGATGCTTTTGATGCTGCGCCTTCTTTATGTGCTGCTGATTTGACTTCTCTGATTTTCGTGCTACCAAACTACTTCAGCATAACTTCTATTCATGCAACTTTTATTGACATAAATAAGTATGTCTAGTTTATAAATTGTAAATGGCCTAAAAGAAATACATGATTTTTTTCAATATGGCTTAAGATATCAGTCTCATTTTTTAAACCCTTGTGTTTGCCTGTTGCTAAGCTTATTTTATAGCTACAACTTCCTATGGCTATTTCCTTTTGCAGTTGGTGTCAAACTGTGGTTTCACAAATACATGTTATCAAGATCAAACAAATCATTTGCTCTATTTATATATAGTACTTCGCATTTTAGTTTTGTGCTCTGGAAACCACAGTTGCTGAATTCACAATATAGCTGCACATTTTAATATATTCTTTATAGAGCTAATTATTTAAGGATGATATTTTAATGATACCTTCTAGGAAGAAGAATGAACATTGTTTGTTTTAGCCGTATTTTTTTGTGTTTGGATTTGGGTGATTTTGACCAGTTTTCTTTTGCAAAATGTTTGGTGGTTCTGCTGCAGTAATTAAAAACAGTAACCACAATAAAAACACACACAAAAAACTATTAGCATCAACAGCATGCTGTTTACAGTAGTGGATCCATAATTTTAATGATAAAAACTGTATCTCTTTTTTTAGATATTATTTTTCTTCAGGGAACTGAAGTTATATTTAAGGTTGCACTTAGCCTACTGAGCAGCCAAGAAACACTTATAATGGAATGTGAAAACTTTGAAAATATTGTTGAATTTCTTAAAAACACACTACCTGATATGAATACATCTGAAATGGAAAAAATTATCACCCAGGTATGATTTAAATGATACTAAAATGATATGTTTATGTTATATATTAATATATAATTATATATTAACTGTTTCAGCATAAAGGTGTAGGTTTGCTTGACAGGTTTTTGGTTTTTTATTTAATCAGATGTATTTTACTTAAAAATGAGACAAGTTGTGAAATTCCTATGTTGACATTTTCTATGTGGCTGTGCACAGGAAAACTGGTTCGGTGCTACATAATGAGTTTTCAGGAATATTTCATTTTAGACCAATGGTAAGACTGAAGGTAGGATCTATAGAGTTAGGAAGAGCAAATTAAAATGAGGCCCACTTGTATTTGCCTTAGTTTAAATTCTGATTAAAAATATAAGGAGTACATGTGGCAAGAGCATAGACTTTGGGATTAGATAGTATGGTGTTTGCATCACCTTCTAGCTCTTTTATTAGTTATTTGGCTTGCACAGCTAATCTTCTGAAACCGAATATTCACTCCTCCAAAATGGGACGATACTGATTGCCGGGGTTTTGTGAGGCTTAATTGAAGAGACTTTGTAGCAATCAGGGTCCCTTGCAGGAAGCGGAGTCTGCCCTTAACGAGTCAAATGAAGGGAGCTTTACAGAGTGGTGTGCAGGGAACCAAAAAGCCTTGTGCAGGCGCCCAGGACCTAGTAGCAGAGGGAGGATGCTCACACCATGGTGCTGAGCGGGCAGGGGGAGCTGTGCCCGCGTTACCGGCCCAGCAGGTGCAGGCACTGCGGCGGAGGGATCTCTGCAGGGTGTTGGTGAGGCAGGCGAGAGGGGCGGGGGCGGGGGCAAGGCACACCCAACCTTCTGCTGCGGCCCCTTGGACCTCCCCCTGACCCCTCCGCTGGCCATACTGACTGGAAGTGTGGGGGAGTTCAGGGAAACCAGGTGTGCCTCCCAGGGTCCTGAAAAATGGATGAGGGCAGAGGATGGGTGTGGGTCAAATGCCTGCTTTTCACAGGGTCCAGGTAGTTGTTTTATTGTGATGCTGCTCAGATGACATGAAAAAGCTTAGGACTATTATTTGTAAATAAGGCTATTATCCTCTGTGAGTATTGATAAAGGACACCCCTTTCCTGGCAGCACTTGGGATGGCAGATAAAAGGGAGAATTTAGAGCAGGACAGAGGGGTTTGAGATCTTATCCTGGTGCCCTACTACCTACTAGCTGTGTGACTTTGGGTGAACTACAACCTTCCTGAATCTTAACTTCCTCCCTTACAAAATGGGGACAACAATAATGATCTTTTCACTTTTTCATATTGTTTACAGGGGCAAATGTAGCCAATTAGGTTGAAAATGTTTATATACTGGAATTCACGTGAGAACATGAACTCATTATATTATTTCATGTAAAGTTTTCTCTTACATGGAATCTAAACCACAGATTATTCTGTAAATATCTATGAACAGTTTTTCCTTGCTAAAATGTTAAGCTGAAAACTATAGCTTTTTTCACACTTTTATGTATTTGTTTATTCCTCAGAAACATCATTTTGGACTGGCAAGCAGTCAGATTGTGATTTTAGAGAGTGGTTGGTGGTACTTGATTTCAAAATAATGAGGGAACTACCTGGCTTTAGAGGTTAATATTAGGACTAATGGATAGAATTTATAGGCAGGTAGATTTGGACTTGATATTAGGAAGACTTTTCTAATAATTAGAGCTGATTAACCATGGAAAAGACTGTTGATATTAAAGCAGACTTTGATAAGCTTTATTTATGGTCACTGTAAAAAAATGCAAACAGTGCAGAAAAACACAAGAAAATAAAAGTAACTACAAATCTTGATACCTTGAGATTAAATTTTTTATATTTTTCAATTACAGTTGACATGTAATATTATACAGAGGTATTAGTTTCAGGTATACAGTGGTTAGACATTTATATAACTTAGCAAGTGATTCCCCTGATACATCTAGTTCCCAACTGGAACCATAACCGTTATTAAAAACATTATTGACTATATTTTCTATGTTGTACTTTACACTCTTTTATAACTCCCAATTTGTACATCTTATTCCCTTCACCTTTGATACCTTGAGATTTAAAACATTTTAAACCTCCTTTTAGACATTTCTCTTTGCTAATATACACATATATAAATAGGGATATATTTTCACATAAATGAAATCATACCATATATATGCTATTGCATATGCTATTGTATAACCTGGTTTTTTAATTAAAATACTTGTAAAGTATTAGACATTTTTATGCCAATACCTGTAGATCTATACCATCATTTTAATGATTGTGTAATAGTCCATTGTGCCCATACACACTAGTAGGGAAAAAGTGGTATGTGTTTGGAAGGTATAACAAGATTGTCTAGAAATCTCATTTAAATTCTAAGATTGGAGTATATCTAATTGTAGTAGCGTAAGTCAGATTCTTCATGGATTCTTTTTCTCCATAGCATTAGTGTAGACATCATTATTTATGTGACAGTTGCTGCTTCACCCTCCCTCACAAGTTTAAACTAAGGGTGGGTTTCCTATTCTCCAAATGTAAAACAGCCTGTCTTCTTATTTGGTGGCAATGTGGGCGAGCAGAGGCAACCCCCATTAAACCCTACAGCTCGGGGTGTATGATTTTAAAGGTTCTCTGTGTGGTAGGATATGTAGGTGTCTCCGAAGAGGCTCACATGGATTAGCAAATGGGTCAAAATATTTAGTAGAAGACCTTTCTGCCCCATTGACAAATAATGAGAAGGGATTTGGGTCTCATTATAATAGAAATACTCAATGCAATTTTACTTACTAATCAGCACAGATGATCTCTGACATACATAGTAGTTACTCAGTAACTAGTGTTGTCTATCTGGTGTGCTACATTTGGGGAGATAGTTATTAGATTATGTATATTTGGGTTACAAAATGCCTTTGAACATTAATTTGTAGTGTCTTGGCCTCATTATGAGAATGTTTCATTGCATATCAATAATCTATTTGTCCGTACATTGATAGTCACACTGGTTATTCTTCCTGTGTGTCATACTGTTGCTTATTAATAAGTATTTGGAAATCTCTGTGAAATACACCCGATACACAGACTGCCTCTTCTTGTACTTACTGAAGGCTAGGCTGACCTGTGGTGTTTTCATGGCAGGTTTTTGAGATGGATATTTCTAAACAGCTACATGCCTATGAGGTGGAATATCACGTGCTGCAGGATGAGCTTCAGGAATCTCCAAATGCCTGTGAGTACAGTGAGCCGATGGAGAAGCTGGAGAGGGCCAACAGCCAGCTGAAAAGACAAAACATGGACCTCCTGGAAAAACTACAGGTAAAGAGATAAAGATGGGACCAAAAGAGCACTTGAATGCCTCCTGCCTGTGCAGAGCTCTCCTGGGAATGCTCGGGGTGAGACGTGGATTGAACCGTCGCTGTGGACAGGCCAGCACGTGTCAATTTAAGTGCCACTTGGGAGAGGAAATCTATACTGACAAAAGAGTTAAATGGCCAGTCAGAGTAGAATCTGGTTAAATATCTAATGGGTGTTGCATATACAGGCTAGGGCAAAAGTAGGTTTGCAGTCATGTGTATGGAAAATAATGCAATAATTAGTAATACAAGAATAAACTGTGTTTTGGGTGCTCACAACTTTAAACTTTTGCCCCAGCCTGTATTTGGTTAAATTCAAGGAAGAAGGGGCTGCGCATGGGAAATTGGGAGCGCGGGGACCCTGGGGCTAAGCCGACTCGGGGTGGTTGCTGGTAGAACCGAGCTAGTGAGCGGCAGGGGGTTGGCGGGACCGAGGAGGCCTGGCATCGGTGTGCGATTGTGGTGGGCAGCGGCGGGGTGAACGCGGTGGAGGCAGAGCTGTGGGTGACTCGCAGCGTGAAGCGGAGGAGCTTTCCTTCTGTTGAAAGGGAAATGTCTCCAAGTGTTTGAGCCGTACTTTAGAAAGACTGGCCTGGAAACTTAGATGAGGATAGATGAGGATAGATTAGAATGGGGAGAAAAGGTAGGGAGACCAGCTAGAAATCATTTGCCCAAATCCGATTGCAGATGATGACAATTGTCTAGAGTAAAACTCACAGAAATGGAAAAAAAGGAGACACGTTTGAGAGAATGGAATGAAAACATGTAATACACAATCCCTGCTGTCAAGTTGACGATTATTAGGGAATATAAAACAGTATATATTTATTTATCAACAAATGCACACTTAAAGTACAATAAGCAATTTAATAGAAATTAATATTTCACATCTGCAAATTATAGAATGTGCGCTGTGTATTCAAAGCCCTGAGGGCTGGAGGGGAAGGTTAGAAGGCGAACCCACTGGGAGGGCTGGGGAGGAGAGTTCTGAGTCAGCGCTTCCTTGGCTCCTGCTTATCCCTCACTTCCCAGCCCTGCACCTGTTCCCATCCTAGAGCACATAACCACCTGCTTCTCTGTGGTGGATCCTCTGGCCCAGCTAGGAGAGAGAGAGAGCTCAGAAATGAGGGAATCCTAGAGTAATTGCCCCCCAAGAACAGGAACAATAACTTCTTTTACTTCATTTTACATTAGCTCTGGCCCATAGAAAATGTTATGCCTTCTCTTATTAAAAAAAAAAAAAAGCCGATCTTGTTTAAAAAAAAACAGTTGGGCAATTGTTCATTATTACATGGATATTTCAATGGTGGTTAATTGAGTATTTCTTTATGAGGGAGGTGTGTTTGAACTTGCTTTATAGTATAATGATTTTTATTAATGGTTACAAACTCTTTCATCAACAGTTCAGTGTTGTCATCATGTCTCGGTTCTCCAGTTACACGGGTACCCCCCACACCCCAAAAAACTGACAGGATCCTAGCCTTGTGTTCAGAAAACCCTGCCTCTCCAGTTAGAAGTGGAAGGCCTCTTTGGCCCCTCAAGGCATTGTCGGGAATCTCCTGCTTCTCCACCAGATGCCCTTATCCCAGGGAGCACTCGTGTGTGTGGGTCGGGGGGAGGCCCCTCACCACCTGGGACAATGACTTAAGGCTGCATTTTTGGTGTGTTCAGTAAAATGAGAGGTATTTTGTTCGTACTGTACTTTCATTTTTGAGAAACCTGTACATCTCCATTTCATGGAAGGTTTCCGAGTATTTACATGTTATTTTATTAAGCCAAATGATATGATTGCTTAATACACATAAGGTCTGGCTGCTGCTACAATTTAGAAGCATAGTCTTCAAATTTTTGATTGGAGGATTTTTGTTTTCTCCCCCTCCCCCCACCCCCCAATAGGTAGCTCATGCTAAAATCCAGGCGTTGGAATCCAACCTGGAAAATCTTTTGACCAGAGAGACCAAGATGAAATCTTTAATCCGGACCCTGGAACAGGAGAAAATGGCCTATCAGAAGACAGTGGAGCACATCCGGAAGCTGCTGCCCGCCGATGTTGTCGCCGACTGCGAATCGCTGCTGCGGGAGATGAACTGCAACCCTAACAACAAAGCCAAGACTGGAAGCAAGTCGTAACCGAGGCAGTGCCGCCCAGCAGGACGCGCCGGAGAACGCGACGGGAGGAGAGGATCTGCGTGCTGCTGGCCCAGCGCGGGCCGCCGCTGCGGCGGAGCCCTCGGGGCTGGTGCTGAGCCTGGTCCGCGCCCCGGCGCTACCTGCAGAGGGTGCCAACCCTAAGCCATTGTGCATAGGCAGACTCATTTTTGTTATTGCTGTTGACTATGTACATACATAATATGGACATCAAGAATTCTTGCTTTCGGGTAAAAAGAGTAAATGTAGATTTAGAACAATTTTTTTTTTTTTAAATCAAAACTTCATGAAATCCACACCAAAGGGCAGTTGAAAATGAAATGTCCCTTAACACATGTGAAATCATTTCACCTTGGTCATGAAACAAAGCTAGAGAATCTTTGTATATTGAAATATACTTGACAAAAATGAATGTATTTTTCTTCTCCAAAGAACAGCATGTTTCACTCAATAGCAGAGAGACGGAAACATTTGCGTAAATCTATGTGTGTGTCTTAAAGCCTATTGACATTGTACACCTGAGGAAAATGACTGTCAGTCACGCGTCTGCGGTTCTTTCAGGAAGATGGGCCTTTTCCCCGCCTGCTTTGTGCCAACGGGCCTGTGGGCCTACATGCATTTGGAGGAGCAAGACATTGTGGCCAAGTCTGCCCACCCAGCTCAAGGTGAAAGAGAATGTTGCTAATTTTTTAGCAAATTAGCCCAGCATTGTAATTTAATATCAGGCCTCAGAATTTTAATTTAGGACCTAAATTGACCCATTCAGTTTTTTTTCCTTTCTATTTAAATTACTCCTCCATGTGCCTCCCCTTTCCTTGGTGCCACATTGGTAACAAGGATTTGCCATTTTCCCTCCAAAACATAGGAGCTCTTACCTACCTTAAATGAAGGATAAAGGAATGCAATTAGGGTTAGTTTTTTAAAGATGATATGCTGCGTTCAGATACTTTTTTGCGGACGGTTGATAGAATGTAATGAGCTCATAATCATCTTCCCCTTCAATGTGAAAATTTATGAGAACTGTGAAATGTTCAAACCAATGGTTGAAATTTGTTGGGAGGGACGGGGAACGTGGCACCGGGCCCTTCTAACGCAGAAGTCTCTGCGTTTGGGTTGGGCCCCCAGCTTCGCAGCCACAGACAGCGCAGCGGAAGGCATTCTCGCGTGGCAGGTGTGTGGGAGGGAGGGTAAGTTCACGGTGCGCATGTGGGGCTCCGGGTCACGGGTGGTTCTGGGATGGCGCCTCTGCAACTGGATGCGGCGCTTTTGCCTTTCCAAAACAATGTTTATCATCGCTGCTTTGGGCAGTCCTAACATGAGCACAGGTGGATTATCTGGGATAATTTTTTCCGAAGGGAGTTTGTTTTACACAAGCTACGCTGTGTCCTAGAGGAGGAGAGTCGAGCTCTGAAGGTTTTGGAAAACCTTGATGAGCAGATGATAAGCATCTGCTCTCTCCCTCTGCCCCGTTATTCGGTGTAACTGCAATGATTCTTGTTACAAATCAACAGGCCCTCTAACCCAGGCAGTTTTCTTAAAAGAAAATGAAGTCTTGTTAGTCAGGTTCATGTAATTTCTAGGTCCTAGAAAATGCTGATTCTAGGTACCCCATTCAGTTGGGGCCACCAACTGATTTATTGCTTGGATATCCCCAAAATGACTCTCTTTGTAGGAGAGGTTTTTTTATTTTCATTTTTTTCTAGTGGTGAAAATTACCTGATGTGCGTGATGCACGGAAAGTAGCCAAGGACTCTTCAAGTTGGGAAAAGAAACTTTTCAGATCAGTTTAAAGTTAATTTTATTCTGGATGTTCAGAGGCAATATTATGAGTTATATTATGGGGTTCAGAGGTTGAGGTGTCTTGGATACAATATTTCTTTTGAAAATGAATTTCCTTTTCTTTCCTGATTTTGTAAATGTTGCATCAGTTATGCTTCATGCATTGTTACATCTTCATGGGGTATATGTAATGTCTAGTTCATTTCCAATAAATACATTGCTACAGTTTCCTTGGCTTATTTGTCTTACTTTTTTTTGTAATAGGAGAGAAGAAGCTCTTGGTTAGAGTTCTTGCAAAATCTGCATGGATTGGATTGTTGCTACTTAAAATTGGTTCACTGATAATCCTTTTTAATCAGAGATATCAAAGATAATTTTCAGAAACATTTATGAAGGTACATTTTTGGCTACCAATTTTAAACTTCTTTCCCGTGGAGACTTTGGCTGATGAATATAAACAGAAAAAGACAAGCACATGGACAGATTTGCATTCTACCCCTTCTGCTGTCTGTGCCCCCTCATAAATAGCAAGAGAGAGGCAGACAGTACATTTTTAGCTTGGGTCAGCTCCCAAATAAGAATTAAGGCACTTATTTTGTGGATGTGATATGAATGTGTTTATATAAAATATGTATCTTCAGAATATTCCCAGCTGTGTTTGTAATCTAATAAAAGGATACTGTATCTTCTTGCTAACTTTAGGACTAAAACTTCTAAATACTTTGCACTCCATATAGTGGCTAAACATTTTGAGTGTCATTGTAGGCTTACGTAGTATGGTCTCCTAATATACATGCTAACTTAATGCATTTTATCACCGTTTCACCATTTTTTCCCCACTGTGCTAGATTAAGGATAGGAAACCTGTCCTCTGAAGTGTGTAGTCCTCTACCACAGTGTGTCATCCGCCCTAGCTGTGATATGTTGAGAAAAGCAGTGGGTTTAAGGTGGGAAGTTTTAGATCTGAGTCTCGGTTCCACCGCTGTAATTTATTCATTCAGTAAATCACATTTTTGTAAACCAGGCCCAATGCCTAGTGTTGAGAGGTGGAGAGGGTACCGTCTTTGACCTCATTGAGCTTCTGGTCCATTTGCAAGGGGATAATTAGAAAACAGGAGAGTTTATACTATAACAGGTATGCAAAGTGAGGAAGTGATGCTTGACCTGAGCCTAGAAGGGCCAGGTGAAGCTGAGCAGGTTGCATTAAACAGTAGGTGAGTGAGAGATGATGGCGTGTTTCTGAAATCATAAATCATCCCTGAAGAATAGTTCGTGCTCCCGTGGGCGAGTGGTGAGAAACAGGTCTCCTGACCTACAAGGAATTCTTAGCAGACCTCATGCAGGAGTTTGCACTCCACCTAGAGAGAAGTGGGAACCATTAAAATAAAGCTAGTAACCTGGAGAAGGATATGGCCAGATTTGTCCCAAGCCATTTCATATGTTTGGAAAGAAACTAGGGACTGGGAGACTGCGGTTAGGCAACTGCAGTCAAACTCTTGATGAAAAACGAGCAAAAGCCGGATCTTGGGCCGTGGCAAGTCAGCCTAGACTTGTCTCTCTCTGATACATAGTCAGTCACCAAACTCTGCTAATTTTGTCTGCAAAATAGTTGCCCATTTCCCCCATTGCTGCTGCAGCTACCTTAGTTCGTATCCTCACTCTGGTGGGTTAAACTGAGACTGCCCCCAATTGGTTTTGGTTTTGCTGTGTAAGAAATGCAAGCAGGAGGTGGCAAGAATGTCTCAGTCAAAGGGGAGGGAGCTCGGATAGAAAGGGAATCGGATGGAAGTGCGAGAACAAAGCAATAGAGGGGACACTGAGTGGGGATGTTGGAAGTGGAAGGCCGGTCTCTCTACTAGCCTATCCGCCCCCAGTCTGCTCACGGCATTCGGCACAATGTCAGGTTTTCGGTGCTCCACACTACAGAACCGATTTCCCTTGCTGCAACCCCACCTTCAAGGGGAGTGTGGCACCAGAGGGCGGGCCAAAGGAAGCCGACGGGCATCCGGGCATCTGGCTGCTCAGCTCTTACCTGCACAGCTCCTTGCCTCAGGCCTCAGGCGGAGGGGCCTTCCTGAAACAAATCTCATCAGATTTATCCTTCGCAGAACACCCTTCATGAGCTCTTCTTTCTCCCCAGGATCTGATGACCCCTAAGATGACACATTTGGCCTCTCTTGAGTGGGTGTCTAATAATCTGTTCATCTTGGTCTCAGGACCCCCAGAAAGGATTATGCATATTTAAAAAAAAAGCTAAACTTGTTTTAAAAAACATGCATGTCGATTTGGGTAAGTTGAGAGGTAGGTGTGATTTTATTTAGCATTTTATGTTTCTTGATGGCCTAGTGTGGGTGAGGTATTTTGCCAGATAGTAGGACCACAGAAATGTCTCCCCATTAGTTCCAAGTCAGTCCTCATTTGACAAATGCACCGTTTTTATGAAAAAAAATCTGAGTGATACTTTGTAAATTGTGAGAGGACGCTAGTCTTTACCTTTTATCATAAATATATGCTATGTGCCATATATAATATAAATTATATATAGCATATTATACTTTATCGTAGATATGTTAAAATTCAGGCCATGAATGCAATGGCGCTATCGCATCTTGTAATTCAGGAACACTATTTACAAGATTGTAATGTGGACAGTACTTCCTGGAGCTGTATACTAGAGCAGTTGACAAAATATATTACATATGAAATAATACACATTATATTGAGAACCAAGCCCACGTATCCCAACAGCTTATGATCTACATTAACATTATTTTACTATTCCATTGTCTTCACTCACATAATTTCACTATTCCAGAAGCTCTTATCCAGACAATAATAATAATAACTAACAAAGAAAGTGACCACTATTGATAATTTGCTATATTAATGCATTTTACATGAATTATCTAACTTCTGCAATATTTCTGTGAAGGAAAATACACCTTATCTTTAGTTTATAAATGAGAAAAATATACTTACAAAGTGGTGGCATTTGGGGGCTCAAATACTGCATATTCTGACGGCAGAATTTGTTCCTTCAATGGCTGTCATGCCACTGACTGGAGACGTCCTTGGGTCAGCAAGCTCTTTTCAGGTTCATTTACGTCGCTTCGTCTACAAGTTTGCTCAAGTTACCAATGCTTGTCATGTTGGCTGTACTGAGAGAAGCAACTTGGGAATGAGTCAGGGCAGAGAGAACGTGTAAAGATGAGGGTGGTCAGAAGGGTGGGGGGTGACTAAGGCGAGAAGGAGAGAGAAGGACGCAAAGTCTGACACGAGGTCTGGTCTCTGGTGACCTGTAAGGCACAGAAGTTTTGAGGGCGCGAGCCTTAAATAAAGCCGGAGAAGGTCCGCGAATGCCTGCTGACTTGCCGGAGTCCTGTATCGAAACCACCTTGCAGCACGTAGCAATGATTCCTTCCTTGGAGCTCGAGAGTTCTATTGAAGACTGAGGAAACCCCGGCATAGGAATCTGTGTCCCCAAGTGTCCTCCCCACCCAAGAGTCCATATGGGGGCCCAGGATGACAGTTTGGGAGAAGTAAAGAAGAGGACAGGTCTCCAGCTGTGCTCCTCAGTTCCTTCTCCAGCCTCACACTCTGGCTCTGACCGGAAAAGATGGTCTTCGCAGGAAGGAGCCCAAGAGGCAGCATTTTGTTCTGACAGCCTTATGCAGGAGAAATGGAATGGCAGAGACATTCTGGATTTATCTGTCAAAATGAATGATAACTCAGGCCTAACTGTCTGATTGCTGATGTTTGTGTGTGTCTGGAAGAAAGCTGTGTGATTTGACTGAACTTGAATCTATTTCAGGATTTCTAGGGACATGCAAGGTGTATGGTAGAAAATGTCTTGCTTTACTTTGAGAAACAATGTGGAGAGAGGAAGGACTAACAGGTTAGAATGGGGCCTTTCTGAGGTTATGTCTGCACTTAACATTGTACTATATTGTCTGGCTGGAAGACTGGGTGAGTAAATGGAAGAAATCTCAATATTTTTGAGCACTGGTGTCTGATTATTAAGCAGTATCATTAAAAAAATCTTGGGCCATTTTCCCTTGACAGAATGATCTAGACTAGGAAATGAGCTTCCTTCTTATTGGGGGAATAAAAGATGGCCAATGACTTATTGTCACTCTTACTTCTGTGTTAATATCGTTTAAATAAAAGTCACTTCAAAATATTTCATATTCTGGTACCTAGTTTCTCTTCAAGTCAGAGTTGCATCTTCCTTTGTGATTTAGGAGGATTTTAATTATTAGATAAACACATGCCCTATGCAATCTAATGATTTGAGCTGTAGAACTCAAATTTGAGCTGTAGAACTCAAATTTGGAATCCCTACCCCATTTTGTATAATAATTTCATTGTCAGAACTTTGAGTAGGAGGAATAATCAATTAATTGGTGATTTGAAAAGCACCAACTAACCTCAGGCAGGTCTGAAAATTGCACCATTTAACTAAAGTCAATCCACACAACATTTACTGAACATCTAATGTGTACACTGTCCTTGGGAGAGAGGTGCGGATAAACATCTCCATTTCAGTTTGGTGAGTTCCGTAATATGATACATTTGAAGTTTTAATTGTACATTAGTGAGGAAACAATTAGTTCTTCCCAGGAGGGCAGGTAGGAAAGCAAGGGAAACTTTCTTTTAGCTTTATTTTTTATCGTTGACACTATTACAGATGTCCCCATCCCCCTCACCTCCTTTGCCACCTCCTCCCCACCCCCGACCCGCTTCCCGCTTCCGGGACCTTCGTCGCACTGCTGTCTGTGGCCGTGGGTCACGCACACGTGTCCTTTGGCTCATCCTTTCACCTTCTTTCATCCAGTCCCCCTCTCCCTGATCCCCTCTGACATCTGTCAGTTGTTTCATGTATCCATGCCTCTATGTCTATTTTGTTCGCCAATTTATTTTAGTATAATCTACATATAAGTGAGATCACATGGTATTTGTCTTTCTCTGACTGGCTTATTTCACTTAGCATCATAATCTCCAGGTCTATCCATACTGTTGCAAGAGATAAGATTTCCTTCTTCTTTTTTTTTTTTTTTTTTGCCTCTGTGTAGTATTCCATAGTGTAAAAGTACCATGGCTTTTTTACCCACTCATCTACTGATGGGCCCTTGAGCTGTTTCCAGATCTTGGCTATTGTAAATGCTGCTACAAAAATTTTAAGTGAGCCTCCAAGTGTGGGAAGAGAACCAACAGGAAAA